CGGTTTGCAAGCATGGTGAGGTGGGGGAGAGAGAGATCGAGCGGCGACCAGTGGGCAGGGGGAGCGAAGGGCGGGGCAGGTCAGGGGAGGCAGCGTTCTGGTAAGGTGCCACCGGACGAGCGGGTACTGAAAAACACACTAAATTTGACAAACGGGTATGCGCGTATGGTACCGTACTGGCAGAAACCCACCCCTGTATGAACAAAAGTATTATAAATAGATTCATATTTAAAGAAATATGAGGTAGGTTTTGGTTTAGAATGTATTGTTACATTCTGATGTTGCAAATGATTTTACTTGGCTGTTTCTGCAATTATTTCATCCTGAAAAGACAACTTTCTGTTTAGAGAGTATATCAGGGGATATAGGCTACTACTGTAAATAGACTTAAAAAGATAAACTTGATGGAGTGAATATGTGTAATGTAGGTGATCAGTGCTTAAATATTGCTCATTCAAAGTATGTTTGCAACACAACCTATACATACCTAGCTCATATTAAATTCACAAATCATAATATGTGTTTTATAGATATTTATTTCATTATTGTACCATTAAGACACCCGAGGCAAAATGAACAAGCAAATGGACAATTAAATAATTGTTATAATTGATAATTGATTAATATAAAAACCAATGGTAATAATATATTAACTATTACATGCTTTATTCCACCTTAACCAAATATTGGAATGTTGTTTAAGATGGGACAAGATTCACTTCTAAGAAAAGGCTGTTCTGTAGGTTAAACAACCACTGGTTTTTGTCTGCTCCTCCTACTTTTTTTAAATAGGTAACTAAATCAACAAAGTGCTATGAGATAATTGTACTGGATAATTTGATTTTAGTTATAGAAGGCGGATCTGCTGGTATTTTGAAGTAGGATGGTCTGGGAGAGTGATTAGCGCAAAATCACTCTGTCAATTTTTTTTCATGTCTGAGGAGACACTAGTTTAACATCTTAATTGCTATATTACATTTATGTTCTAGAAACCTATTAACAATCAATGTAAAACACGCAGCACAAGAATAATGTGTTTCTGGAGGTAAGAATCTTACAATAAGAGGGCCTATTGCAGTTTGTAGCACCTGCAGTTTCCATGTAGTTTTCCAAGGTATCCCTTTGTATAGCACCCTACAGTAGTCCAAATTAATAGTGATAAGAAAAGTTGAAAAGAAGATAAAATAAACTTGATTGTAAGTTCCGTCCTTACACTGGGTAGTGTCAATACCTTACCATCATGCTGCAAGTCAGTTTAACATACTTGTATGCAACTGAATGCAAGCAAATATATGCAATATTAATGAGTAAGAAAAGATAAGAAATGTTAGTTCAGTTTAAACACAATTTTATACAAAATTCTGTTTTTAAACTTCATTCAGATTGTAATATTTTTGTATGTACTTTGCAAGGAAAAATAGCTTTAAACACTAACTTTTTTTGTAGGTTAACTGAATCATCTGGATATTTAACGGATGGGCCGATAAATTATAAATACAAAACTAAATGTACATGGTTAATTGAAGGATTGTAAGTATATTTTAAATTAATGTTGATTCTACATTGTAGCTCTTAAGAGATATTTGACAAAATGTTAAGTTAAAAAATGATTGAGTTTTCTATAACGTGGTTGCAAGATTTTATGATTATGATTTTTTAAAGAACTTTTGATGATTTTCTAAAGAGTTCTTGATGCTTATAGTTATACTATATTTTAGGGAAAAAAATTGAGAAATTTACTGTTAAGAATTAAATACGGAAAACAGAAAAGGAATATATGACTAATTCTACTTTCACAGTAGAATTGCAGTATGGCATTGCAGCTTTTATATCTACCCACTACTTGTGAGCTTAGCTGGCTGCACAAATGGACCTACAAAGTTACCTGCCATGAAAAATGTCAAGCAATTCCTGATACTATGACTTATTAGTTTGTCGTAGCTGCTGTTGCATAATATAAGCTCTCTTTGGCCTAATAATGTAGTCTGATGCCGATGTATATTTTGCTTATATCTTTGGTTTTCATAGTAATCAATATAGCAGTTCCAAATAACAGATATTGGTTTTATTGCTGATCAGATAAAGATTTTGAAATTGGCATTCTTACAAACGAAAATAATACTAGTTTGAACGTGTAGATTATTCGTTTTTGATAAGTTTTAGGCCACATTTGAATATCCAATAAATTGAGCTAAATTGTTTTATATAATAGCCCAATTTCATCCTCAGTGTTTAAGCTAAATTAAGCTTAAGCAAATATATCATAATAAAGTATAATTTGCTGTACACGATAAAGAAAAGAGTGTAAGGGTAAGGGGAGACCATATAAGTAAAGAGCCTGTTTCCAGAAAGATATTCCTATGTCTGAACCAGAAAATAGTTTTTAGTTCCACAGGTTCAGATTGAATTTTCTCATTTGCAATGAAATGCATGTCTAAAATTTATGTAATAGTTGCATCCACACATAAACACACATATTACAATTTTTAAAATTGTGTAATCATAAAATTGACAAGTCTAGCCTTTAATATTGTACTGACATACTTATATGTATATTTCATTATAAACTGTTCTGTTTTTAAGTGCTGTTTCTTGCTTTTCTCTTCTAGCCCTAATTCAGTTTTAAGATTAAGATTTAATCATTTTGCAACAGAATGTAGTTGGGATCATATGTATGTTTATGATGGCGATTCAATATATGCACCTTTAATAGCTGTATTTAGGTGAGTATTTCAGCTTAAAGCTTTTATTACAGTGGTACAAAAGTGCATTAAATGGAAGTTTCAGATTGGATTCCAGTATGTAGTTCTCTGTTTATTGCCTTTTTAACGATCCTTCTTTCAACCATTTCAGCATGCTCTACTTTGAGCCATGTTTAGCAAACTCATCATTTTTAAATGTTACCCTGATTTTCTTGAATATCGAGAAAGAAAGAAAGAAAGGAAGGAAGAAAGAAAGAAAGAAATTAAGAAAGAAAGAAAGACATACAGACCCCATTTTTTCTGTTTAGGATGGAGGGCAAAGTCTTGTTTCATCTCATAAAAGAATAAAAACAATAAGGTTTTACTCATTTACTTGTTAACTTATTAAAAATGGGTAGGTTTACTGGTTAAAGACCCTTCAGAATGAGACAGACAGTGCAGTAGGTCAGGAAAAAAATTGCTACAGAGAACAAAAATGTAGATAGAGAAAAGGGAATTTGTTTCACAGTGTGCAACTGGAATACAAATGAAGTATAGCAGGTGAATCAGACAGCGCTGCTAGTGCAGAAAAATTAGAAAATATCCTTTTGGATTTGTAGCAAGAAAAGAATGTGGTGGTTGATTTTTTTCATGGACCAGATACAGGTGGAGAAAAATATGGAATGTCTCTATTGAAAAAGACTTAGTGGCAGCTTGGTTATATATACCACACTTAAGCCAGACAGTGCAAGAATTATGTCTAAATAGTAAACTTGAATATTTGAAATAATACATTTGTTTAAAAGTTCCTTCTGTGCACTGATTTTAATTTTATTTTTTAAAAAAACTGAAATATTGCCTTTATACATTTTGACTGCATTATTTTTATGTCAATCATTTCTAGAAATGGTTTTCAGAGTTCTCTTATTTTAAACTGCATTCAGTGGTGGGTTACGACTGGTACACCGCGGTACAGACGTACTGGTGTCTGCCGGGAGCACCAGGTACCATTCTGGTACGGTGCTCTGGAGGGCCCCCCCACCCGCCCGCGCTTCTTACCGGTATTTGAGGTTTTGGGGGCTTCCACACACGTGCATGGAGCATA